AGAACTCCCCACGATGCCAGTCATCTACCTCCTGGATATCGTCACATCCACTTAGTAGTTGACTCCCATCACTTAAGAGTTCCACAAAGAAAAAAGCAAGCAACATTCGTGCAGATACACTCTGATCCAAAGAATTGTCATAGAACACTGTGACCACGTATCGTAACCCACTCCAACTACATCCATCCATCCTCATTGTCGGCTGCCTTATGCATGCAAAATTATACACAGAACAGGATCTAATAGACTGTCGAATAATCGACTCTACCCTAGGACCACAACCAAACAAGGAACAGAAAATAAGGCCAAAACAATTATTCTAAGCCTATAAGATCCTAACTGTATACAATTTTAAAAGCATACACATAGAAGTTACAAATACCAATTATCATTCTCATTCTAGTATCGCATCAAATATTCCCAAGGCTGCAAGCATCACATATCAGGCCAACCTATTGTTGACTACTTAGCACCAGCATGCAAGTCTACCAACTCATACATCATATACAGGCATCTCCCTAGCCATAACTAGCATGCGATTCACAGATTCATAATCAAATCATAACAGACAACATATGTGGGTATTTTGGGGAAACTTACTTGAGCTCAGCTGATTGCATGCACCACACATTTTCTTGTCTTATAAATTCTTTACTTAAAAACATTTTTCTTTTGAAAACTTACAGATCCTCAGTTTGAGTTCAGACTCACCCGAAAGTATGTCCGAATCCCTCAAACCAAGGCTTTGATACCAACTTGTAACGACCCAAAAATCAAGGGTAAAAATTTCATTTTTAATAAAGCTAAAACATTGATACCATTTATTCCAAATCATCATTAAGTAAAATATTTATTAGAGTCCATCCCAAACTCATTCAATGCGAAAAACATGGGTGTGTGCATTGCGATCATTTCGGGCCCTTCTTTTCCAAACCGATGATACCTGAAACAATAAACAAAACTGTAAGCACGAAGCTTAGTGAGTCCCCCAGAGCATACCCCACGCACAATCCACATAACACATAAGATATTAGCTTTAAAATCTATCTCTACCGCATACCACATATCATATTAGCTATAAAAGCTATCTCTACCACATATCATGTTAGCTACAAAAGTTATCTTTACAACGCAGTACATACCAATTAGCTATAAGAGCTACCACTACCACTACTACATATCACATATCACATATCAACTAGCTATAGCAGCTATCTCTACCATAACCCACAAAGGCTATCTCTCCCATTATACACAAAGGCTATCTCTACCATCAATCATAGAGGCTGTCTCTACCATTAGCCATAAGGCTATCTCTACCATTAGCCATAAAGGCTATCTCTACCATCAGCCATAGAGGTTGTCTCCACCATTAGCCACAAAGGCTATCTCTACCGCATATAATGCACACATACATAACATACACACCTCTACATAGCAAATATACCAACTAGTATAAATAGGTCCATTAGTATGGTGAGAAGACTCACCTCGCACTGCTGAAGTCCCGCAGATAAAACTCTAGTTGTTGGTTGACAGGCTCCCAAACTGTCAACATCAAACAGTACCCAATTAATAGTTGAGTTCCAAGCCCAATGTCCAAATCATACTCCTAAGGCCCAAAGACCAAGTAATGGGCCAAATCCCAATCATATGGCCTAATTTTCCAAATTGGGCCCAAACCTCTTTATGGACTTATTTTAAGGCCCAACCTATTATTCTAGTACAAACATTAGGCATTCCCATGGCTCACCCTCTCATAGTTCTTAAGGCCCAGATGTAGCCTAATTATGGTCCAATTTTCCCGATTGGGCCCAAGCCTCTCTAACAGGTCTTATCCTAAGGCCCAAGGATTTCCTTAGTCCATAACATGTTTCCAATTGGCCCATTAAGGCCTATAACAACTTAGTTCAATAAGTGACCCAATAAGAACCCAATTCCAATTAGGGTTTTTCACATAAAATGTCAATTAGGGTTAAGTGTTCCTACTTAACCCATTAAGAACTTAACCCATTAACTCCAATATATCCTTTAAGTTAATTTGCCAATGTTGTTAATTAATATTTTAAGTTTATTAAATAATTCCCGAGCGTTTCCCGATTAACACCAAAATTAGGGTTTCATGGCATTTGGGTTTCCATCCCAATACTAGCCCATTAATCACATGTTTGGGCTTTTATGTCAATTAGGGCCTCATTAGGCCCACTGGGGTTTTACTATCACTAGGCCCAGTAGGGTTTCAAGCTTCCAAACTAATCAAATACAACAATGTAAAGCACACTGCCACCCGACACGGCGGCCAGTGGCGACAACCACCACCCTTCAGTGGTGGTTTTAGGGCTTCTTTTCATTATTCTAATCACCGGTTACAAAGTTACAATGCAAAATACCAAATTCACACACTCACACACGCATTAAAATACACATACACGGCGGAACATGGTGGCAGTGGCTATCCTCGGTTTTTCGACTAGACATACACACCCATGACATACATGCGTATCAGAAATAGAAACACACCCATACACCTATGCTCGAAAAAATGGACGCAACCACCCACCTGGTGGTGTGCGGTGACGACAGCAACATCCATAGAGGTGGCTTAAGGCGGTAATGGCGGCGTTGCAGCAATAAACTGGAGAAGAGGAAGGTTTCGCGACATCACAACCATGTTCCAGCTTCCCCGACATCCTCAGTGTTCTTTCCGTCTCTTTACGCTCTTCGCCGGCAGCGGATGCAACAGTGGCGGCGCTATGACGACTTTAATGTAACAATTGAAAGACCTAGCCGTTCACGGTCCACACGTCATCGTTCGAGGTTTTCGGTGTACACAGCGCCTCCGGTAGTAGAGCAATAGTGGTGACGTTTCATTGACTAGGCAGTAAGCGGGACGATGGTTGTCGGCCTTGATGATCGGTGGCTGAGGAGGCTCCAATGGTGGTGGCCGCTACTGGAAATGAAGAGGGAGGTATAAGGACGGTGACAGGTGTAAAGGGTTTGCTAAGGTTAGGGTTTGATCGGTGGTTACGGGTTTATATACCCTGATCCCATAAACATGTTGCCATAATGGTAGGATTGGTCCCTTCCCCATCTAAAGCTTTGCAAACCAACTCCAAAATTTACTCTTTATACCCCTGCTCCTCTAATTCTTTTCATTTTAAGTCTAAATTTTACCTTTTTAACCCAACCTCCTGAACTCCTTTACAAATCAAGTCTAATATTTACCAAATAGCCCATTAGCCTCCAAAATCTTTTCAAAATAAATCCCAAAGTTACTTTTTAACCCCTGAATAATCTGATTTATAACCTTTGGCTTCCCAAGGCTAACACCACACTAAATAATATGAATTTATGTCAACTATTCGTTCATCAAATTTTATCTATTTATTTATTAAATAAACATATATAAATGCTTTTACAAGACATCAAAGCACCCCATTGACTCTTTAAAATCAGAAAACATAAAGTTAGGACAACACATAAATTGTTCGTAGCAAATTTCAAAACTTCAACACTTAAGAGAATTATAGGATAAATTATGGTCCTTATGGATTGGAGTAATATACTTATGAGAATTATAAGATAAATTACACGAATAGTCCTTATGGATTAGGGTAATATGCTGATTGATACCTAACAAAGTTTTTTAACTCAAAAATCCTTATTGTTTGCTTTGATAATACATAAATCGGTTTATTTATGGCAATTTTCAAAACTCCAACACTTTAGAGAATTATAGGATAAATTACACGAATGGTCCCTATGGATTGAGATAACCTGTATGATTGATACCTAACAATGTTTTTAACTTAAAAAGCCATATTGTTTGTTTTTATTTTAGAGTAAATCCCACTAAACATAAAATGGCATTTATATCTTTTTTTAAAATTATTTGATTAAAAAAAGATTTTGAAAAAAAACATGAGTCCCACCCTCTACTTTTTATCAAATAGATTATTCCTTATCCTCTACACTTAACAACCTTAATCAGACCATCAAACCGACTGCTGTCGGAAACCTCCTAAAAGTCACCACTACCACCAAAAACTTCTCCAAATCCACCGTTAACCGACGACCATGCGTCACCACCTCTATATACTGCTGGAAGCCTCTCTTAAGCTAACATCAAGTGTCAATTTGCAACTAAAGCCACCATCAATCATCGACACCCACCACCACATTTCTTCTCCATCGAAAACCTCTCTAAAACCACCACCGAGCATCGATTTGGACTTTAAAGGCATCATCTGACAATTTTTTTGTGGCTACCTCTAGCTCACAGAGCATATACCACCGCCAGCACCCTAAATGTGACACATATAACAAAGACAAACCACCACTACCACCACTCGATTACAGATCGGAGAAAATAATAGTGTTCCGATTTCACTATATCGACTTAGATCTCTGCAACTTGATACTGCATGGGTTAAGGTGTATATTGGAGTTGAGAAAGAGATAAAAGAGATTAAAGAAGCTTGATGGTGGTGTGTTTATCAGAGTTGATATATATATATATATATATATATATATATATATATATATAGAGAGAGAGAGAGAGGGAGAGGGAGAGTGAGGGAGAGGGGGAGAGAGAGAAGGGGAGAAAGAAGAATGTTTTTGGTTAGTTAGAAACATCCAAGGCAACGTCAAAGATTTGAAAGTTCTTTCCTTCTTTGTCGAGATGAGAGATTAGTAGAGTTTAGAAAAAGAAATAGATTGTATCATAAAAATAAGGTAGGTCGGGGTGGGTGTAGGTTGTTTGGGTCTAATTTGATGTTGCAGGTTTATCGGTGAATTTTTCCGACCAAACCAATTATTAGGGGGAAGAAAAGATATGGGAGTGGAGGCATAATCGATGTAAGTTAGTTGTAAAGTGGATGAAGCGGGTGGGTGGTGAAGACTAAAGAGGAAAGACGAAGGAGGAAGGAGAGGGACCCACATATTATGTTAATATTTTTAATAAACTAATAATATAAAAAATTAAAACAAAATTAATACAGGTACATTATTCTTTTTACATCGGATCTAAATCGAAACAAATCCGAACAATAGAGACCTTCTAAATTGAAATTTTTTGTTAGGGACTAACCATGCATATTATCTCAAACCACAGGGACTATTGTGTATTTTACCCTAAATTATATTAACGATAAGTGGAACTAAAGTCAAAAGTTTTGCCGGTTATAATGAGGAAAACATCATTGGACACGTAAGCTTCTCAACGATGGCGGGCTCCAGCCCAAATTGTTCAAGTTCAACCTTCCGCAGAATAGAAGCCATCATTGAAATTGTACTGGAATATCGTATATACTTTTCTCCCTTCGACAAAATTCCTTTTTATCCCTTAATCTCTTTCAATCATCAAAAATTTGGATGCATTAATCTGCCATTTTCCCAACCCTAGTGGCGCTTTGGACCATCTTTGTCGTTGTTTGCTACAGTCATGGAGCTTTTTCAAGAGTTGCTGTTTACAATCTCTTTCTCTCTCATAGTCTCCTTGTTAATCGCAAAGCTGTTTTCAATGTCATCAAGTTGTGATGATGGGGCTTCAACCTTATCGAAAAGCGTTGAAGAAAAGATCGAGAGGGAATGGGTTGTTTGTGATTCTGAGAAAGAGGAGAAATCTGGGTACTTTGAAGATGCTGTGAGAGTTAGCGAAGATGTTCTTTTCGGATATGCAGAAGCTGAATTCTTAACAGAGTATGTGATCGATGACCCGAAAAGTGTCGGTGGCGTCGGTGAGAGCTACGTGTTCGACGAAAGTCCTGAGAGAACCGAATCTAAAGATGCTGCTGCTTATTCGGTGAAAAGCGATGAGGGTAATGTGGTGGATCCTGTTTTGGCTAGTGATATGGGATCATCAATACAAGAAGATTGTGTGAAATCCATTGAAGCACTACATGAATCATCTTCCTCCGTTGACGAGAATTATATGTTCGACGAAAGTCCTCAGAGAGCCAAATCCAAACAAGATGCTGTTTATAAAAGTGGTGAGGGTAATGTGGTGGATCCTGATACGCGATCAACAACAGAAGAAGACACTATGAAGTCCATTGAAGAACAGCAAGAATCATCTAGCGCCGCTGATGTGCGCTATGTGTTCGACGAAACTCCTCAGAGAACCAAATCCGAAGACGACGCTGTTTATTCGGTTAAGCCTGTTTTCGCCAGCGACATCTCATCATCAACACAAGAAGATTGCATCAAAACTATTGAAGAACACCATGAATCATCTGCCATTGATGTTGGCGAAGTGAAGCTTGAGGAGAGAGAAGGGGTTTTTGACGATGATTGGCAGGGAATTGAGACAACAGAATTGGAAAGAAGATTCGGTGCTGCTGTGGCGTTTTTGGGATCCAAAATTGATAGGTTAAATTTGATTGATAATGAAGTGAAGATGCAGTTTTATGGGCTTCATAGAGTCGCCATTGAAGGACCTTGCTTTGAATCCCAACCCATGGCTCTCAAAGTCTCTGCTCGTGCTAACTGGTATAAATTATAATCAACAATTTACCACATTCTTTTTTTCTCTTTTATTATTATTATTATTATTATTATTATTATTTTTCTATAATTGTTAACATATCAAGATTTAATAAAACATTTTAGGAACGCATGGAAACGTTTAGAGAATTTAGGGAGAGAGGATGCAATGGAACAATACATTGCTCTTCTTTCTCAACACATTCCCGATTGGATGGGAACTCATGTTTGTGTAAGAAAATCCAAAATCTGTTAATAATTTATAAAAATCTTTTATTATGTCATTGAGAAATTAACTTTTATTTATTTATTTATTGTTATGCATAATTGTTTAGGAAGATGATAGTGTGCAATGACATGGAGTTGTTTTATGGGTGGATCTCGGCTCCTTGGCAATATCTCTCTCTCTCACATTATTCGATCTAATTGGAAGAAGATGAGTTACCTTATTTCATCAATAGTCGAGTGATAATAATAAATGTTTATTTGTAAATAATGAACTTGTTATGTTTGCGTTTAATTTAGTGTTATTGTAAGTATTATTGTTGATGGTGCTCATGTTCAATAGAAAATGCTCCCTTTGCTTTATCTGATTTACATCTAATATAATGCTTTTGGGACAAAAAATGTTGACTAGCTTTTGGTTTTTTGGATGAATAACATTATGTTTGAGCTTTTGTAGGTTGTAATGAACATAATATGTTTATTAAGCTGTTTTTTGGGTAAAATACAGAAAAACACAACCTTTTATCTACCAGGAAAAACTCTTACATTTTGTTTATATACAAAAAAACTCTTACGTTTTTTGTTACTCTTCACATTAACTCAAGTATTCTGTTTTTTAAAGAAATTTTCAATTGGTTTGTGACATGATATTTATATTTTTTTATTTTAGGTTAATATAAAAACATAAATAAGTAGAGTTGTCTCTTGTATAAGGTAAACATGAAAAATAGACTATTACTTGACAAACATTTACTCCATAAAAAATAAGTGATATCGTTTATTTTTTTCTTTGTCAACTTAAAAACGAACACGATAAATGTCATGCCACAAAATGATCGGTAATTTTCTTAAAAAAATAGATATTTGAGTAAATTTGAATGGACAATGACACGTATGCCCTATTAAGTTTCATAAAAGCTCCCAAATTTACATAAAAAAAACCGGTTATGCCCAAAATCGTTTGTTTTTTTACCACAAATACCTAACATTTGCTCCTCATGTTTCATTTCAATGTTTTTTACCGGTTCCCCTTAAACAACCGGTTACTTTCCCCTTTTTAACCCCCAAACATAAACTTCTTCCGTTAACATCGATCCAAAATCTTTCCCTCCCCTGTCTTCTATTCTCTCCCTCGTCTTCTACCAAAAGTATCTGTAAGATGTCGACTTCGTCTGCCAAATCAAGCTTCCAAGGTGGTCCAACATTGAGAAAGAAAAGAATAGTTAGATGTGGATGTGGAGATGTGTGCAAGGTATCTGTTGCTCGAACACCTAATAATTATGGAAAGAAGTTTTACGGGTGCCCTAATTACAAGGTAAACAATTTGCCCTAATTTGTAAATTTCTTGAGAAACCTTGAAATGGTACAATGAAGAAACCTTGAGAAACCTTGAAACAATTTGCCATAATTTGTAAATTTGCCCTAATTTGTATGTAATTCATACAAATTATTGTTTTTTTCTAGGTGGAAGAAGAGGATTGTGGTTTTTTCAAATGGTACAATGAAGAAGATGGTCACATTATCGACCCAACTCACACAAAGCAGAAGCAAGGTTAGGGGCAGGGGCAGGGGCATGGACAGTTGAAGACTTTGGTAGAAATAATTGTAGGTCTTTTGGTTCTTATTTTTGTAATGGTGACAATAGTTGTTTTGAAGATGTAAATCATTTTGGATTGGCTTTTGGTAGAATGTTTGGGTTGACTTGGCTTTTGGTTTTTAGTTGCAAATGGAAGTACAATGTTGAAGTTGGCTAGTAACTGTTGTTTTGGATGAAGATTAAATAGCTAAATGGTATATGGTTCATAACATACATTAAATTGCTAAATGGTAAAGTACAATGCTAAAATTGGCTAATTGTAGTTACAAATGATACCTAATATATATGCCAATGGTATGGATCATACAAAATATTTGTGAAATGAAAATGGTAAAGTACAATGAAATGGTACAATGCTGTGAAATGGTAAAATAGAAATTATCTGTGAAATGTAAATGGTAAACATAACAAACATATGGTTCATAATATACATTAAATTGCTAAATGGTAAAGTACAATGCTAAAATTGGCTAACTGGTAAAGTACAATTGATACATAATATATATGCCAATGGTATGGATCATACAAAATATTTGTGAAATGCAAATGGTAAAGTACAATGAAATGGTACAATGCTGTGAAATGGTAAAATAGAAATTATCTGTGAAATGTAAATGGTAAACATAACAAACGTATGGTTCATAATATACATTAAATTGCTAAATGGTAAAGTAAAATGCTAAAATTGGCTAACTGTAGTTACAAATGATACATAATATATATGTCAATGGTATGGATCAAAAAAACATAGTATAAAATAACAAACATAACAAACATATTATAACCATAATGAGGGGAATCATTACATCATATTCATGTACCAATACAAAAGATTGCAAAAGATCAACTAACATGTACCATCCATCCATTTGTACCAAATTGCCAAAAATATATCCCAAAAAGGCAACCCAAAAGGTACATGAGAACAAGTGGATGAAAGGTACACTTAGTGGGTGTATAAACTAACATGTACAAAATGTACCAAAAAGGGCTTCCTGTGCAAATGCCCAAGTATACCATTCCCACCTAAATCCCCCATATACATAACTAACTACTCCAGATTCACTGGATTTGAACATGTGGAACCACCCCCATCTTTATCAAAAACTGCCTTTTTAAGCTTTAGTTTAGTTATCCTCTCTGATTGCTTTCTTTTCCTTGTCTTAGGCACTATCAGAACATCACCAGCAGCCACATTCCCATCATCAGCAACCTCATTATTTAGAACATCACCAGCAGCCTCATTCCCATGATTAACACCTTCACCTTCAATCACATCACCATCATCTTGATTTTCAACACCTTGACCTTCACATTCAATCACACCACCATCATTCCCATGATTAACACCTTCACCTTCAATCACATCACCATCATCTTGATTTTCAACACCTTCACCTTCACCTTCAATCACACCACCATCATTTACAAAGTCAGCTTCACCTTTATCAACATCAAGCTCATCCTCATTTAAGTCCTGATGCAAGAAATAACAAGGTTAATAAATAACATATATTTAAAATTACAAGGTTAATAAATTACCATCTCAGCTGGTGGAGTGTCATCAAGTTCAATTTCCAACCACCCCATGCTTTCAATTTCACCCATGGAATATCCTGCTTCAAGTAAATTTGCTATGTCTTCAACACTTATCTTCATTTTATCTGGGAGAACATCTGATGCATGTCCTTCAGTGAATTTAGGTTCTACACCACCTTCATTCACCAATGGAACATCAGATGCATATGATGCATTTCCAGAACCAAGAATTTGATCAATTGCATCTCCAACTTCATCAAGACTTTGTTTTAGATCTTGGGCAACCTTTACTGTAACATTAACTACTTCTTCTTCTATCACCATAATGTCATCTTCCTATTGTATCACCTCATTCACCAAAGGAACATCATTAACAGTAGGAAGTTGTATCACCTCATTCACAACTGGAACTTGGTTATTGACCAAATGAACTTCTTTAAAAATTGGCTCTGGCACCTTCACTGACACCTCAGTTTCTTCCTCTTCTATCATCTCATTCACCAAAGGAACATCATTAAGAGCAGCAGCTTGAGCAACCTCATTTAGAACCTGGTTGTTGACTTCATCCTGAAATTTGGTTGTTGACTTCCTATTTGGCCTTCTTATACCCAATTTCTTCCTTCTAACATCTGGGACAGTTACTTCACTTGAAATTTCACCAACTCTGAAACTTGGGCCTCTTAAACCTAATTTCCTCATTTTCTTGCTAGTGTTAGAACTTGAAGCATGCAGACTGCCCTGTTGACTTGCTTGTTGACTAGGTTGAGTGGTTATAGTTGATGTCACAAGTGGTTGACTGCCCTATTGACTTGCTTGTTGACTAGATTGAGTGGGTACAGAAACAAATTGGATTGGATCCAGCTACATCACATTTCCTAGGCCTCCCAATCTTCTTTGGTGGCATAGGAACTGGTACCTTTTTTTTTTTTTCATTCTTGCAGCCTTTTTTATTATGCCCATACTCAAGACAATTAGCACATCCCACTGTCCTTGGGGGTTTCACCCTTGAAATGGAACTAATCTTACTCTCTTTCTCACTTGCATGCCTCCATCTTTTGGTTTTGGGCCTACTAGGCATTTTCCTACCAACAGGTGGCAAAGGCTTGTTGTATCCAGTTAGAGGCCACATATTACTCCCATTCACAGGACTGATGTTTGTTGAGTAGCATTCCTTGAATTTAGTCACTGAAAAGTAGTCACTAATATATCCATCTGGAGTTTGATGGATATAATTAATGGCTGCTATGGCATGGACACAAGGGATTCCAGACAAATCCCATAATCTGCAAGAACAAATCCTACCATCCAAATCTACCTTGTAACTAGTACATGCTCTTCTCACTTCAAATACATTTCCTAAGCTATGCACTACTAACCAAAGCCTGCATGAAGACAAATGAGTATGTATTAGTCATTATATATCAACTATAATGACAATTAGACAAAGAAACAATTATTTTGTGTCTTACCTAAAGTTCTTTCCAAAAAGATTCATCTTCTTAATCACCTCTGGACATATATTACCTTTCCATTTACTGCATTTATCATTCATAAAGGAAAACCTGTCCATTATGTATATCCTTATCTCTTCAAGCATTGTAATCAAAGGTTTTTTCCTAGCTTCTTCAATTATGGAGTTGAAACACTCTGAAATACCATTCTCCACTGCCTCACAAGCAAACCCTAGACTCATGTAAGCTCTGCACCATGTTTTGGGTTCTTTTGACATTAGATACTCATATGTAGGGCTTATGGTCTTTATTTTTTCCATGTTTCTCAAGAAGTCACCTTCAACACAACTCATTGCACAAGCCCAGAATAGCTTCTTCAACTCCAATCTAGAGAAAGCTTTATTAAAATTTGCATAAATGTGTCTAGCACATTGCCTGTGCTCCACATGTGGCAAAATAACCTTAACAGATTCAAGCAAACCCTATGAACAGACATATTATCTTAGTATTTATAACCATATTGAAATAATCAAATTGAAGTATACTAGAATTATAAGGGAACTTACTTTATGTTGATCAGAAATAACAACCAAATCTACACCAGTACCAAGGTCAAGATCATCCTTCAGAAGCTCCAGAAACTAGATCCAATTATCTTTTGCTTTCCACATCAACAACATCCCAAGCTATTGGGAACACTTGGTAAATTAGCATCTCTACCTATGGCTGTGAGTAATTCACCTTTTACCTGACCCTTTAGGAAGCATCCATCCAACCCTATTACCTTCCTACACCTTATTTTCCAGCAAACACTTAAAGCCTTGAAACATATGTAAAACCTTTTAAAATAATTCTTATCATCT